GGGCTCAAGCGATCTCCTGCTTCAGCCTCCCAGGTAGCTGGAACTACAGGTGCACGCCACCATGCCTGACTAATTTTTCTATATTTTGTAGAGATGGAGTCTTGCTCTTGCTCAGATTGGTGTTGAACTCCTGACCTCAAGTGATCCTTCCTCCCACAGTACTATGATTATGGGCATGAAGCCACTGGGCCCAGCCTCTTGTGATGTTAAGTAGCTATTGCTGATCAGTACCTAGATCCAGTATTACATTAGAAGTTAGCAAAGTGGTGCTATTCTAAGCCTATCATTCCTTCATTTATTAACTAGAAACCTTCTACAGAAAGAAACTTCCTCTCATCAACCCTTTGGTTATTTTGATATAGTGTTTGTAAAGGAAAGAAAAGATAAGTGCTTAATTTCCCTCCTTTTTCTTAACCACTTTTCAAAGTAATGAATTGGTTTATTGGCATCTTTCAAAGGTGGCCAATGAAATTTTTTATCTTTAATCTTTGTAAACTTGTAGATTTAACATAGTTGATATGTTTTAATACATTGCACTATTATTCTTAGTGATGCTCCAGTTCTCTCAGCTTTGACCAGTAGGATCCTCTTCAGCTTGACTTTTGAATCCTTTTGCTACAACTCCAGTTGTCTTTGGTAGCTTTTGTGCTTTCTTGTATGTCAAGATGTTCCAAGTTCACCTTGTACATTTCCTGCCCCAAGCCTGGAATCAGCCACTTCTCTAAAGAGTCTGGGTTCATTTTAATGGGAAATGGTACTTTAAGACTCTAATTTGGATGCTTGGGGAACTCATTGTGACTGGGCTGATAACTGTTTCTAGGTCTTTTCAGTGGAAAGACCTAGGAAATCTCATCTGTCAACCTCCTAAGTCCTAAATCCCCTCAATTCTACCAAACGATTTATTGAGTTGGTTAATTTTTTTGTCCATTGCTACAAGTATTACCCTAGTCCAAGCTACCCTAGTCTCTTTCAGACTGCTATAGTAGTCTCCTATTTGGTCTGCTTCCTTTCAATCTCATTTCCTAAAGTCAATCTCTACACTGCAGATAGTCTTTATAAATCGTTAAGTCAAATCATGTCACTTTTCTATTTATCCCCTTCTACACTTTCCCCACCCCTGGTATCCCCTGACACCTTCTGTCATCTGGCCTAGGCCTCCCTGTCTTTATCTCACCTCCTTCCCCTTACTCTGCTCTAGGCACATTTGAGGGTGGCTTCTTATTTTTCCTCAAATACTAACCTCATTCCTTTTTCAGCACTTTTGTACTGGCCAGTATGGAATACTCACCAGTGTAGAATTCTTCCTCCAACGTATTCCGTGACTGGCCCATTCATGTCATTCAGGTAGCAGATTTTCCTCCTTTCTCAGCTTTTATCATCTCATTTTATAGTTCCAGTCATTAAAGTTACCCATTTTTTTATTTGAAGTTTACCGTTTCTTTTTCATTTATATTAATTTATGAAATATCAGTATTATCCCTCATCATATATTATAAATGTATTTTTCTCCAGTTTAAGAAAAGATAATTTTGATAAAGAAAAATTGACTACTTTTACAATTTTAAATTTAAAGTGGGTGATATGAACCTTACATGAAACTAACTTTTTCTATTCCTCTTTAGGTTTTCTTTCTACCATTAAGTAATACCATCCTCAGCTGTTTTAAAGATAATTCTATCTTTGCATGGGAATGTGACACACTGTTTTGCAAGTATCAATTGCCAGCTCCACCTGAAAGCTCTAGTATATTATACAAAGTGTTTGCTGTGACAAGGTAACATGCATTTTAAGACACTTGGAATTTTTAAGAAGTTTAATTTCTGGGGAAAAAATTACAAACTTTCATTTAGTTTTCATTCAGTATCTTGTTATATGAGAAAAAGTTTCCTTCAAATTTAGATATGGTCTGCTGACCTTTTTTTTTCACTTTATTGTATAAAAAAAATAGAAATAGAGAAATGAAAATACAAAGTACATGAACCCCTATGTACTCTCATCAGCTACAATAATCATCAACTAATGTTCACTTCTGTTTTTATGTATAACTACCTACTTTTCCATGTATTGTTTTGAAACAAAGCCTAAGCATGTCATTTCATTCATAAGTATTTCAGTGTGTATCTCTGAAAGTAAGGACCCTTTTTGAAACAGCCATAGTATTGTTAGCACACTTTTTAAAAATAGACAAGAATTTTTTAATATTGTCGTATATCTAGTTCAAATTTCCCTGGTTTGTCTAATAACCATTTTTATGATTGATTTGTTCAAATCAGGAGCAAAATAAGGTTCATACATTGTATTTTGTTGATATACTCCTCTTTTTATTTGTTTCTTGTAGTTTATTTGTTAAAGAACTGATCATTTCTCTTGTAGAGTTTTCTATAATCTGGATTTTGCTCTTTTTTTCATGTGGCCTTGTTTAATATGATCTTCTGTCATCTATGTATTTCCTATACACTGGTTATACCTGTATTTCCTAAAAACTGGAGGCTTGATCTGATT